CTGCCTGCTCTGCCAATAGTTAGAAATGGCACTATAGTGTGCAGTGTTTAATAAACAGCTGTTTTTCTCAATTCTGCTGAGGTGAAATTCAGTGCAGTCCTGTATCGTGATACGTATCGTATCGTGGCATCTGTATCGTGATACGTATTGTATCGTGACTTTGCTGGTGATACACAGCCCTATGATCTACAGTATCAAAGACAGCATTAAAGTGATAGTTCACCTTCAGTTGCTGGTCCCCACCGACTTCCATAATATGGGACAAAAAAAGCACTATGTAAATCCATAGGGACCAGCAACTGAAGATGAACTATCCCTTTAAGATCTAATAGCACTAGAAGGGAGATGCTTATATTATCTGACAATGGCTGGAAGTAATTTTTATGACTTGCAGAAGAAAAAGATAAATCCATAAAGTATAAATCATCCTTGAGAATATAAATCAATACACACTGTAGGAATGCCAAATGTAGAAAAAGTGCATGTAGTATAATCACAAACAAATTGCACTTGAAAGTAAATTAAAAGTCACAGTGTTTAAACCGAGAAATGGAGAGTCAGTACAACAGTAGGTTACCAGCACAGCACAAATACAAACTCTGCGCCAACAGGAAGTCCAGGCTTTCCTTTATTATATTTATATATATATATATATTAGGGCTGCACGATAAATCGCATGCGATCATAAATACTGTATATATTTCAGACTGTCTGTGCCCCTTCTCCTCCCCCATTCAAGTCATTTGTGCAGTAAGCATTATGAGTGAATCTATAAATTTCAGGCCTTGATAACTGTCTCTATTTTTAAATTCATTGGTCAAAAGGTGTGGGAACCCTGAATGTCAAGTCTCAGTCATATAGCAGCACTGCCACAAACTCATTCACGTGTCTGTCTGAGAATGCATGTTTCTTATGTAATGTGCTTTATACGGCTGTGGTTCCTCTTCTGCAACCCTCTCTATTATAGGGTTGTGTCAGGGTAGATTAATGTCTTTTCAGGGTTGTTCATCATAAACTAGTAAAATGCTCTGAACTTCAGTATGCCTGATTTCTGTCATGCTGATATTTCACACATACACATTGAGTATAAAATTATGTGATGTGTTATTATAGTGCACACGGGCTCTTATCAAATGTGATTGTCAGATACCATAAACCGTATGAGGTCATGTCCAGTTGAACTGTTGCTAATGTAAATGTCTTTTTTTTATTTTTTTATCTCTGTTATAATGTAATATTTATTTTCTGTTTGTGTTCACAGTAATGACTTTAGTAAGATGGTTGCAGAAGAGTACCTCAAATTCTTTGAGTTTACAGACATGACATTGGACCAGTCACTCAGGTACATCTCATGTCAAGTGTTTGTCATTCAATTATTGAACAGTCATACAGTCACAGTGTGTGTGTTGCTGCTATTTTGCAATGGAATGTGTACGTGATATCAGAAGTTATGATAAAAATAATGTTCAGTCTCTTTGACCTGTCTATGAGTGTGTTCACCGAATGTTTCATTGATGTTTGCAGATGGAGTTCATTGCCTTACCTGTGCGCTAATGCTGCTCAACACTGACCTTCATGGCCCAGTAAGTGACCTCTGACCCTCTGCTAGAGTTGCCCGTATTACTAGCTAAATGAAAACTGACAGTTTGTTCCATCTTTGCCATAAGCGCATGAATGCAGATGCCGTTTGACCAGATCAGAGTCTGTTATTGGTGAATGTAAAGATCCCACTGGAGGAGGATTTGTCTGGGTCATGTTTCACCTCAAAATAAAAAGTCTGAAAATTATTTTTGGGGAGGGTGAAATGTTGCCCAGGGATTCACCAACTAGTGAGTCAAGGATGTCAAACAAAGACAAAGGATGTCTTTTGTGTTTAATTTTACTGTGGATATTATCTGTGATCAAATGAAATCTGCATGGGTGTCTCTAAATAAATATAAGTAGCTCAGTTTGTCCAGAAATGAAAACAAAAAGAAAGGATTCAGAAATGTGCCATTAGTAACTACAGTGCAGTGAAGAAAGAAGAAAGTTATCTGCACCCCCCACCGTTTCCTGTGAGGTGCATTCTGGGTTCTCTAAGAATAGCTCCTCTCATTGGTCTCCATGGTGTTCGATCATGTGTCTTGAAACTTACAGGATGCCGTGTTTTGAGTGTGACACGCTCAGTAGAACGCATGTGCCATGGAGACGTAGAGATTAAAATTTACAGGCAAACGATCCAGATTTTTGTCCACTGGCATGCTCTTTAGAATGAGAATGTCCAAACATGACAAACATGGTTCACAGCTGTCTCATGACTGAAGCCTGTTGTCTTTGGCGTGTCCCATCCAAAGCTTCCTGTTTCAACAGGACATACACTACCATTCAAACAACAATAACAACAAAACCTTTATTCAGCAAGGATGCACTGAATTGATCGAATGACTTGTGTATTGTTACAGAAAGTTTCTCTTTCAATAAATGATGTTCTTTTGAACTTTCTATTCATCAAAGAATCCTGAAAACAATTAGGTTTCCACAAAAATATGAAGCAGCAAAACTGTTTTTAACACTGATAATAATCAGAAATGTTTCAGCAAATCAGCACATTAGATTATTTATAAAGGATCATGTGACTCTGAAGACTGGAGTAGTGATGCTGAAAATTCAGCTTTGATCACAGCAATAAAATACATTTTACAGTATAAAAACTAGAATAGTATTTCACAATATTAATATTTTTACTGTATTTCTGATCAAATAAATTCAGTCTTATTAAGCAGAAGAGACTTCTTTCAGAAACATAAAATGGTGTAATTAAAAAAATAAATGGATAAATAAATCAGAAATATTTAATAATAAAAGTTATAGCACTTACATATCATTGCTTTCTTATGATTTTGATTGCTTCCATTGTCCTCATTTGTCCTCTAAACAGCACTTATCAAGCGTCCTGTGGTCTTTCAGTTTTGTTTTATTGGGACATTTTTTTGTGACAATACAATTAACTGCAATTTCCAGTAATGCAAAAATCTTATTACACTTACTGTAATACATAATGGAACCCTGTCATTCTGTTCGAGAACGTTTTCTAAATTTAAAGAAGCATTAATTGCATTCATTGTAACAAATACATGATTTATTCACAATTTAATTGAAACAGTCATTCCCTGCATTACAGTAATGAGAATGAAATGATGGGGGCAGTGGAATAAACACACGTCTGCATTGTATTTATGAGCATGATATCTGGTTACTGCGCAAGACTCAAATGTTTTTGTTTTTTTTGAGAATGATTTGTTCTTGCAAAATAGTATTTTATTCTCAGTCAGTCTTTGCTGAGTTTGTGATCTGTGCTGCAGACCCATGTCAAATCAGAAAGAGAAAAAGGGCTTGATGTGCTGTTAAAGTGATGGATGACAGGAGGTTATAGCATCGCTTCACTGATGAAACTGCAGCGTGAGATCTTGTGGAATCGTGTATTTCGAAGCAGCCTGTGTCTCTCTTTGATATCTCGTGCCAGTCTGAACATTTGTCAGTGCCATCCACCTACGAACTCGGCTGGTGCTGGCAGGAACAGTAAAGTCAGTGGAACAAACACCGTCTGCGCTTTCTTTTAGATGGCAAGCGGCCGCTCCTTCAGTCTTTGTCTGTGACATTATAAAAGCAGCAATCTGATGCTGTGAAGGAGAACTCAAGGTTCAGACAGAGTAATTGTAGAAGATGTATAACAGCAGCAGTCTGTGTATGTGGTAGCTGTATGCGCTTGTGAAAAGCTTATTAAAGTCCCACTGTAGATTGTGAAATGTATTTTGGTAATTTGCTTTCTCACAAAACAAAGACAGAACTACTGTGACCAAAACAAATCATCATCAGACAGGTAATGCTGTAACAAAATGCAAACTTGTAAATGTTTGAGTCATTCAGTGAAGTAAAACATTTAAATTCCTTTTTATGTACACAAACTATATAATAACTCAGAGATCAACAGCGAAGTAGCTCGGAGCAAATGCTTATATATAGATTACATACTCCAGTTAAATAATTTCATGCTATTGGATTCGATCAGTTCTGGATTGTAATAGATATTCTTAATTCTGTGCATTTAGTTAAAGATGTCACCTCCTCCAGCAGTGCTTAATCAAGCGCATCAGTCTGTGAATTATTGCATGAGCGTGGCATTATATGGTGTCAGGCATAATTGATAAACAATCTTTTGCTTTGCATCAATCAATCGACAAAATAAAAAGAGAAAACAATCAAATAATATTAAGTATTTTTTCTTTGCAAAGTTAATTTATTTGATTATTCAAAAATAGACCTTACATATAGACTGCAGTTCCAAAGTTTGGGCTTTTTAAAAATGTTTTTACAAAAAACGTCTCTTCTGCTCACCAAGGCTGCATTTATTTGACCAAAAATACAGTAAAAACAGTAATATTGTGAAATATTAAAATTGGAAATAACTGTTTCTGTTTTAACCTATTTAATAATGCCGCACTGATATATGTGACCCTGGAGCACAAAAGCAGTCTTAAGTCGCTGGGATATATTTGTAGCAATGGCCAACAATACATTGTATGGGTCAAAATTATAGATTTTTCTTTTATGCCAAAAATCATTAGGATATTAAGTAAAGATCATGTTCCATAAAGATATTTAGTAAATTTCCTACTGTAAATATATCAAAACTTAATTTTTGATTAGTAATATGCATTGCTAAGAACTTCATTTGGACAACTTTAAAGGCGATTTTCTCAATATTTTGATTTTTTTTTTGCACCCTCAGATTCCAGATTTTCACGGCCAAATATTGTCCTATCCTAACAAACCATACATCAATGGAAAAC